TATTCTGCTGAAATGCAGAACTTATGTTTAGGGTTGTTTTATCTTCAATCGGGCTTATATTATTTTAAACGTCTGGTTGTTTAACGCAGTTAAACAACGGGCAAACTGCATGAAAAGCACAATACTAGTAGTACTGTACTACACGAAGTACTACGCCTAATGATGGAATGCGACAGACTGTACCTACTACACCTTTTTTCTATTGACTTGGGACTTTTTTCAACGTTGTTGGCTTGGCGCTCATTCGAAAGGGCGATGTGTCCATCCATTTGGCCAAGTAGCATTTCAAATCTGCTGTGCTTGAAGTGGAGTTGGATCGAATATTCTAGCGATCCCCATTTTTTTCACTTTTCAAAATCGCATTCCGTGCAACAATGGAGAGCGCTGCACCACAGACACCAGTACGACGTCATCGCTCACGATACACTAGCCATGTTCATAACCACGCACGAAATACAAGCGCATCCCCTCGTCTGGAGTACTTCTACGGTCGTGCGGACCGAATGGAAGACATGGACGTCGACATGTAGCTGTTTGCTGCAAGTTTCGATGATTTTATCTGCTTTTTTCATGCCGTCGCGTATTTGATTATAAAATTTCATATTCGATCCAACTCAACTTCAAGCACGGCAGATTCGAAATGCTACTTGGCATATTGTTGGGTAGTGGAGCCATTTCCATTGGTAGTATGGTACATTTCAAAGGGTGTTGCGGCACTAAGTGTCAATTCTATTGGCCACAAGGCCAAATGGATGGACACATCGCCCTTTCGAATGAGCGCCAAGCCAACAACGTTGAAAAAAGTCCCAAGTCAATAGAAAAAAGGTGTAGTACAGTAGTACTGTAGTATTCGCTACATGTACTACTGTAGTTTGACAAGGTGTAATTGACGGTTCTGGTTGGCCACGGACATGATAATAGGCAGCGCTTGATTTATATCATACTAGTACTCCTACTTCCAAAGATGTGTTCAACGTTTCCGATTATGCAACTATCAAAATTCATTGAACCAAGTTGTGAGTTACATGGATGTCGAGAATTTGTCATTGTCAGCGGTACAATTCCCTCATTACAACAGTTCCACTGTTGTTTTGACCCGAAATAATGTTTCAATGAGATTTATATGGATCTTTGTATACTCAGACTACCTCTCCTCTTACTAGGGGTTAAGTGCATCTCAGTGGTTAGCGATAGCTAACCACTAGCGCCGGAGATTTAGCATCGTATGTACTCACCGGG